TCCAACAGACTCTGCTCGGCCCCCTCAAGCTGGGGTCTCATAGCCCTATAAACAGGCATTGGCACATATTTGCAGGCCTGTCTTCACTAAGGGCGGGCACAACACTTCAGACACTGCCGAGGGACTAAATCCTCGCAAAAATTAGTAAAATTAGTATTTACTAAATTAGTTGAAATTGCTAATTAATGATAATCCTCTTTTCTGTGCCGAAAGCGAAGCTAGAAAAGTATGATTATAGGTAGTCACAGATCCGCACATCTGGCCCTGATGATCTGGATACAAAAAATACTATGAATACAGCAATTCACGGAGTGACGCATTCACATGATGAGCAACGCCAATCGACACAAGCACACACTGCGATGTCAACGCTATTACGAGATGATAAGAATCCACAGCCAAAAACTTAACCAAGGTGTCTTCTCCCTCTTTCAGTCTTTCTCTCTCTCTTTTTTTTATGTCAAAATTACAGTCAAATTAATGTGTGGTTTATTGGCAAGCGGTTGAAGCAGATCACTTTTGAAGTTTTGATTTGAATTTGGAAGATTGAAGTCAGTTCTTTTTGCCTATAAGAGGCCCGATTGTGTTTTTTTCCCCATGTCTTATGTACAACTTTACATTAAGTCCAGCATATATTCATCATGATAATGCTGAATTTTATGTATGTTACTATGTTCACACTGATTCTGTTTTGATATAGTACGAGGTCACCCTGTTAAATCAGAAATAAAAACTAAATCATGATAGTGAGACTGCAAATTGGTAGCAAGGGAGGAGACAGGGAGGGACAGAAAGAGAGGAGGGGATCGGGAGGGAAGAGAGGGGTTTAAAACTGAGTGAGCGAGCAGGCATGCACAATAGGCAGGTAGGTAGGCAGACAGGCAGGTAGGTGGGCAGGTGGGCGGGCGGGCGGGCGGGCGGGCAGGCGGGCGGGCAAGCGGGCGGGCGGGCGGCAGGGCGGCAGGTCGACCGGAAGACCGATATATATAGGTGTGGGTGAGTGATAGTCTACTTTGATTTTGGTTAAGGTAGATTATCATTTACAGTGTAATCAGTGAGGGGATTCTGCAGACTGTTGAGGGTTCAGCCTCCTGACGAGTCGGTGAAACTCCGACGAAACAGTTTGTCACAGCCCCTCATTTGTTGTCCTCTTCTCTCTCTCTGCCTACGGTTTACCGGGCAGTTCTGTTTGTGACGATATATATACATATACACACAGATATATATCGTCACAAATAGAACTGCCCGGTAAACCGTAGGCAGAGAGAGAGAAGAGGACAACAAACGAGGGGCTGTGACAAACTGTTTCGTCGGAGTTTCACCGACTCATCATATATATATATATATGTAGAGAGAGAGAGAGAGAGAGAGAGAGAGAGAGAGAGAGAGAGAGAGAGAGAGAGAGAGAGAGAGTTCTTTTCTTTTTTTTTTCATCTGCTGCTGCCGCCGCCACGTGGCATCGAAGAGCGAGTGAGAGAGAGAGAGAGACAGAGAATCTTGTGTTGCTACTCAAGACACAGCTGGATAATCAATGCCATATGTCTGATTTTTGTTTGTTGTGTGTTCATCTCATCTGGTTTCGCAGTGGATCCACAGTGAGTTTTGGAGAATGCATGGAGCTCATGCAAGTTATATCAGATAATACGGCAGCCGATATGGTACAGCTCTCCAAATCTTTTTCTTGGCCCGCTCTCGAGTTCCCTTTGCGTGTGTATTGTACAACCGTGCTGTCCGGTGTGTTGTTCGCTGTTGTACCCAACTGCGTTCCGTTCCTCTTCCCTTCTTTTACCATTTCCAACCAGGTCCTTTCTGCCAGCTCCCCTGTTTCATCCAGGTCCATTTGGAGGTCTCTTAAGCTTCTCTCTTCTTGCACTCTTTCTTTGTTTAAGATCTGGTCCGTTGTGAAAGTCTTGGTGGATTTCTTGCCGACTTTCTTGGTCTGCCAACTGCTGTCAGATGGGGGGTAGATGTCTGGTCTTTGGGTTGGCTCCCCTTCCATGACCCATACCCAGTCCGGGGTCTCTAGGTTGTCATTAAAGACCCATCCTATGTACTTATCTCCCTCGACCTCCTCGAGGCTGGTTGGTTTCAACGGCCTGTTTCTTGCTGAGTCTGCATTCTTTGGGCACCTTGGGTCCGTTCCCATGTGCCCTCTCTGTCTGCATTTGAAGCACAACGGATTGCTTGTGGTGGAGACTACGACCTTCACTATTTGGTCTCTGACTGCAAAGTGCCAGATTTCTGGTAATTGCGGTGAGACTGCGCCCTGGGTGTTTAGGCATGCCATCATGGTATCATGCTGCGGTACTAGGAAGTCCGGGGTGGGTGTGATCCAATCCACGATCGGGAATTGGCCATACTACTCCTGCAATCTCGCCTTGATTGCCCCGTGCAGCCCCTCCCGTATTCCATCGAACTGAATCCAGAAGTACTTCTGCATCAACTGCTGTCGGTACCTGGAGGGGGAGGCCTGTGTTGTTTTGGCTGGCGCCCAAGGGTAGACCGTAACCACTGACGAATTGCAGGTAAAGGATTTGTTCTTAAGGAACGCTGCCTGTTTTTCTTCTTTGCAGACAACCATTATTGTGTTCCTTCCTCTACTGTGAAATGTTACCTTTGGTTCCGTTCCTGGGATCGGTTCTATGCTCTTGAGTTTTTCCCACAGCCATTTCAACTTTTCCACCCTGTTGAGTTCCTGGCTTTCTTTGGAGAAGGTGAAGAGGACTGCATGTTTAGAATAGAATTCGTCCAGGGACGGCAGCGATTCAATTGGATATTCCCATATCACCACTTCCTCCTTTGCCCCGTTTACAATGTCGACTAACTCTGTCCTTTTTGTCATCTTCACTTTTGTCTTCTCTGCAAGCCAATTCTGGGTTTCCATTCCCATTCCTTCTCTTGCCATCCCCTTCTCCTCTTTCTTTCTTGGTGGTCCTCACAGATTGATCTTTGTTTTTGTTTACGGGCTGTTTGGCCTGTCTTTCTTGCCTTTTGATTATCTGCTGTGCAGGGCTATGATATGCAGGCTGTTGGCGTTGGTGTGCCCAATGTCTCGTTAAGAACCAGTAGCTGATGGTTTCTGTTGGGGGGCTGGGATTGATACTAATTTCAGAGCTAGACTTGCTACCCCCTCCAACGGTACTGGGAACTCCTAGGCACCCATCAAGCACTGGTTTAGGATCTAGCTTGGTGGGATCTTAGGGGGCTGAGAGCAGTCTGGGTGTAGCGTTGCTGCTTCGGGTTGGCCTGCAATTGGGCAACTGAGTGATGCTAGAAGCCCGGAATTCAGGTGAATAGAAAAAATACAAAGCACATTTTAATCTTAATGAGTCGTTGAATGATAATTAATATTGGTATTATTAGTTCATGATTAATGTTAGTAATTCTTAAATATTAATTGGTTGTTTAGGGTTATGTAACAAGGAATGATGCTTGTATAGATGGTTGTAAAAGTTGTTTAGTGAGAGTTACTTGTTATTAGTGGGAATATCGGCGTTGTTATTTTATCCTGAGTGAGGATGAGGGCGTGGAGCCAGGGAGGGGCGTGGGTGGTTGAGTGGGAGTGTGGGGAGTAGAATGCTGTGGGAGGTTGGTAGGGGAGGGGGCCTGGGGATACTCGAGACTTAAGACGAGGGGGATCTTGAATGTGGGAGTGTGAGAGTGTAGGTGGATTCGCTTCCTTGGGAGGTAGATGCAGGGTTGTGAGGGTGGGGGAGAGGGGGATTTGTTTTGCGGATATGGGTGCCGTGTGTGGGATGAATGGGTGAGTTGTCTGGAGGGTAGCGCAGGTACTGATGGGGGACGGTGACTGTCTGTGAGTGTGCTAGGTAAGGTTGGTGGGGATCCGGAGTGGGGAGCGTGGTGTGAGGAGTTGGGGGGGTAGGGCGGGAGATTGTATATGCGGGGCGCGGTGAAAGAGGGTAACCCCTGAGAGAGGCACCTCTCCTTTGTCTCTGCCCTGCGCGTGCTTGTCCTCTACGAGTTCAGTTTGCTCCTCTACTCGGTTCGATCTTCTCCTCTAGTCCGTTTGGGCTTCTGTTTCTAAACGATTCTTCATTCCAATCCTTTTTGCTTGTCTGTCGCGGTTTGGCGTAGTCACTCGTATGAGGCTGGTCCTTCGACGTTTCTATCCGCTAGTGAAGGAAAGAGTCAGGAACCTTCTCCCTTTTCTATCAATCTGTAATATAAAAGACGGAAAGTTAGGGGGAAGACTTGCTTGGCACTATTCCCGTCGCTTCGTCACTTGCACAGACGTCTTTCCCCTCCTCAAGTGTACTCAAGTTTCCTGTTTGTCCTTGTCGATGTTATTCAGCTCTCTCATGCGCAGTGAGATCGGAGGTGGGGTTCTTTTGATCTTACCTTTAGAGGGGCGGACTGTTTTCCTGACCTTGCTCCCGGTTATGATGTGGTGCTTCTCTGTTGTGTTTCTCCTCGCCGCTGCTTGAGGGGCTGTCTTTGTTTGTCTCTTCGCTTCGTGGCCCTTTCCCTATTTTAGGATTCTCTCTTCACTCTTTCCCTCCTTTTCTTTCGTCTCTCTTTTGTCCTTTCTCATTCCTGTCGGCAGCCCACCTCCTCTTTTTTATTCCTGGAGCATTCGCCCTCGTTCTTGGCCCTCCTCGCTTTCCCTCCTGTTTCTGTCGTTGCTTGTCACGTCGTGACGTGCCCCTTCCTTACTTTAGTATTCTCCCTACTCTCTTCCTCTCCTTCCCTCCCTTCCCGCTTTTGTCCGTTCTCTTTCCTTTCAGCTGGGCACCTCCTCTTTGCAGATCCTGGTGTATGCGTCCTCGTTCTTCGCTCTCCTCTCTTCCCCTCCTATTACTGTGTGATTCGTGTTGATCATGAGAGCGCCACGCCCGAAGGCGTGGCGAGACGTGGCGACCTTGGACTCTCCCTGCCCGCTCTTCCCTGCTCGAACGTGTGCACTCCCGCTCGCGTGGCAAAAATTCAAAATCTAAAAAAAGGGCCGGCGACGCGGGTACGCGATTTAGCGTTGTGCGCAACGCGAAAATTAGCGCTAACCTACGGCGCTAGCGCTCTGGCGTTGAGATTCCCGCTTTCAATGTGATTGTGCTATCTGGATTCTGTCATCCACAGCTCCCCAGATCTAGTTTTCTTCTTCCTCCTATTCATCCTTTCTCTTCTCCTTCTCCTCCTCGTATTTTTCCTACCAATCCTCTTCCCCTTTCGCCTGTTCCTCAGCTATCTTCTTCTCCTTCTTATCCTCTATTCTTCCTATCCTCCTATTTCCTCCTCCTCCTCGTCCTGCTGCTGCAGGAGCTGTGCTATGTGACTGATTGAGAACACAATCCAGCAGAGCTGTCTTCACACCCATGCCACAATGACAAAGCAGATTTGGTGAGGGTCTCACACCACACCAGACAGAGGTTTGCACAGTGGAAGTCCAGTAAACAAAAAGAAGTGAATAATATCAATTCAAAGTCCCTCGTCGTGAATGACCATCCAAGTGTGTGTGTGTGTGTGTGTGTGTGTGTGTGTGTGTGTGTGTGTGTGTGTGTGTTTTTGTATACACATCTAGATGTGTATAAGAGACAGGTGTGTGTGTGTGTGAGAGAGAGAGAGAGAGAGAGAGAGAGAGAGAGAGAGAGAGAGAGAGCCGTTGTCATGAATGAATTGAGCCCGAATGATGGCCCACGTACATTGCATGAATCGGGCGTCGTCTTTGTTTTTTTTTTGGGAAAGTTTTATCACGTTTTCAGGTCTGATACAGTTGTGATGTGGGTGCCTGTTCTGTCAGTAGCCATCGCAGGACACAACACACCCTCATCATGAGTGAATCGGGTCTGAAATTTGTCTGTGTGCATTCGAAAATACTATGAGCCTTCATTGAAGTTCACGGAACCCTTGGGCCCCTCTCCACTACACAACCATCTACATGCATTTGAACTCTTTCTCACCTCGATACATTCAAAATGCTGGACTCATCCAAATGCACCTGTTGGAGAAAGCGTCCTAATTCATGTAGAGCGCTGTGTTGTGAAGCGAGGCTCGGAATTCACTCGTGAGGACGCGTTGTGTTTTGTCAGAGTGCACACAACGCGCAGAGCACGACATGCTCTCATCTCGCCTACCTAATGGGAACTTCAGGCCGCACTCTACTACTCAACATTCAATACGTACCTGGGCTGCTATTGCCAACGGATACATTCAGACTGATCAAAAGTTTGTGAAGTGGAGCGAGGCCTGCGGAATACGGAGTAGCCACCCAAATATTTTCTCGGGCTGGCGCGGCCCCGGAATTGTTTTGCGTAGCTGTTTCGACCTTTTGACTGGCAGCAAACTGGGGTGGCATTTTCATCCCCCCGACCCTTTGTTTTTTTCATGGCTAAGATCCGGACGTCCGGACCGCCGTCTGGACGGTCTGGATTCAGTCCGGAATCCAGACGTCCGGTCTGGAAGGTCCGGATCTGGCAAATTTTGAGGGGAAAAAAAAAAAAAAAAAAAACGGTCCAGGACCCTTCCCCATTGAGGAGCCAAGCCCCCAAAATTGCTTTGGGGGGTTTTCAGGCCCGTTTATGCTTTTTTTGGGGGTCCGGACATGCTCTCTCTCTATAGTAATTTATTAGACAACCCCAATTTTTTAATTATTAATAATTCATTACCTGTTATTAGTTTTTTTCATGGTAACCGCCCGGACGTCCGGACCGGGTCCCAGACAGTCCGGTGTCCGGTGTCTGGACAATATGTGTTACATACTTCAATGAGTATGGGCAGAACCAAAGATCAACCAATATAGGATGAGCATTTATGCAGCGGAAGTCTGATAACGAACTGACTCACATAGACTGACTCACACCAACTGACTTACATGGCATCACTCCACACACATACAATCATGAGATGGTGGGGTCTGGGTCATTCATAGACGATACCCAGATCCCGTACACACATACACAGATAAAAGGTGGGAGGAGAGACGAAGGAGGT